CAAGAGGACAGTGTTGCATAAAGACTATCTATGTTTCTATATATATATGTCTACACATATTTACATATATTACATATTTTGGTTATGAGCAAAAATAAGGGGTGTTCCAGTGTAAATCTTTCCTACACTCTCCATTTTTTGTGATTTCATGCTTATCCCTCCTGAAAAATGAGAGGCAAGTCGAATTCAGTTTTCAGCCACATTGCTCATGTATAGGAAACATTTCAAGTTTCTTTTTACACAATGCCTTTCTAAAAATTTGGTATTCACCATTTTTTTTCAGATTTATCAGATGATGTATTATAAATGAACGGGCATGTCTTCTAATGTTATTTCCCCTGTTTATTTCTGTGCAACCCTGTAGTAGTATAATGAATTACAACTGTTAGCATCAATTTCTTTATAATGATGTATATTTCTTCTTCAATATTAGTGTGTTGACTAAAAGGAAAATCATATGGATTTATAATTTCAAACATTTATATTCCCTCCCGCTGCCGCTAAAATAGCCTCCAAACGATGACACCAAATCGACTGCGGGGACTTTCCCTTGGCATGGCTTGCCCATGGCTACCCAAACATGCTCTAAAGGGTTTAAATCTTTTGATTTAAGCATATGTGGCAACACAGCAATCCGGGAGTAAAGGAATCATTTGCCAATCCATCTGAAGCATTTATATCCCCATTTGAAGCATTACAAACCCTCCCCCGATTTATGTAAACCACAGACATCAGAGGTCATGCGGTACTGTATTTTGCTTTATATTATACCCTTGTATACTGATAACAGTTTAATCCTTTGAGATAGTAAAGAGATAATTCAGATTATAAATACATAGACAGAACAATGCATGATTATCGAAACATACGCTTCAAATATCTGGTTCATTAGTCTCGGTCCCGGAATATTGCAATAAGATCCTCGTATGGGAACATTAGCCATGGGAGGGGTTAACAAGAAGTCCCGCCCACAACACAGAATTACGCTCAGTTCCTCATTGACCTTAAAGAGTAACCACTATGTGAATTAAATGTATGATATTCATCTCAGAATTTGTTCTTGTACCTCCAAATATGCATAAGATTTTAAAAAAGGAAAAAAAAAAATGCGTTTTATATTTATAGCCTTTTGAATGAACAAATTCTGGGCCCAAAACGTCGTCTGCTACAGCTTATAACTCAAATATTACCAGTAGCGCCACCAACCCGGGAATGACGTCATGAGCTGTGTTCATTTTCTTTGTCATCGCCATGAATGCATGGATGAGAACATTTTGTGTGATATTTTCGTGTGATATATTGTATGCAAACGATTCTTCTTGCCTAATATTTTCCAGCACCATCTTACTAATTGGCGGTATGCAGTGTATCTATACTTCCTGCAATAAAGAGAGGAAAAAAATGAACTTAACTGTATATAATTTTTGAAAGATTTATTGTGATAGCCAGTTTGAAATAAAAAAGATGTTCTAGTAATATTGTTATTAATATTGTACAAATATGTAGATATATAGTTGTTGTAATTATTATTAATATATATATATACATATATTTATATATAATTATATGTGTGTGTGTACATGGAATCACACACACATATATATTTATATATACATATTAGTATATACATATATATATATATATATTTTTTCAAGAGCCATTCATTCCACTGCAGGACATAGACCTCCCTCAATTCCCTATTGAGAGGTTATTTATCAGTACCATCCGTGTCTGATTGGATGCCCTCCCAAATCAACCGCGGTTCGGCGCGCTGACACTTCCCCTACGACACCTGCGTTTGACTTCTCATGCGCGCGCGCGCGCGCGCGCGCGCGTGTGTGTGTGTGTGTGTGTGTGTGTGTGTGTGTGTGTGCATACATCCATGCATCCATTCACACACACGTATATATGTATATATTGGTAGAAAACTCTCTCTCTCTTCCCCCCCTTTCTCTCTCTCTCTCTCTCTCTCTCTCTCTCTCTCTCTCTCTCTCTCTCTCTCTCTTTCTCTCTCTCTCTCTCTCTCTCTCTCTCTCTCTCTCTCTCTCTCTCTCTCTCTCTCTCTCTCTCTAGACACACACACACATATATATTCATATAAATATATGTATATGTACATACATATACATATATTTACCAAGACGGTAAAGTGTATGGCTCTCTCTCTCTCTCTCTATCTATCTATCTATCTATCTATCTATCTATCTATCTCTCTCTCTCTCTTTCTAGACACACACACACACATATATATTCATATAAATATATGTATGTATACATACATATACATATATTTACCAAGCCGGTAGAGTGTATGTGTGTGCGTGTATCTGTCTGGCTCTCTCTCTCTCTCTCTCTCTCTCTCTCTCTCTCTCTCTCTCTCTCTCTCTCTCTCTCTCTCTCTCTCTCTCTCTCTCTCTCTCTGACTGCTATCTACTCCTCTTTCTCTATATATGTTTATCTGTTTCCTGAACCATTGTCCTTAGAAGTAATATAAACCATATGAGATTTCCTTTCGCCAGACAAGCCTCGTGTGGGCGATATTTGTGTTTTAGAATTTCTATTGTGCTTGTATGAGAAGCAAGGATTTTTTGTTCAGTTTTAATAAAGCTTCATTTTCGCGGAAAATGATTTTATTGAATTTTACTTGTAAGAAATCCTTGTTTGAAAAAGATTCGGAAAAATAACGAATACGTAAATTACAATATTTCAACGTTATTATTTTCAATGTCATTATTCGAATGGTCATTTGTCTTGATTACCAGATGCATGCAAATGACTAGTTACCCTTACCTCGATGGTTGATTTATTAGACAAGTGTTCACAAAAGAAATGCAGGCGTCCTCTGAGAATATATGCAAACGCTAGCCAGTACAACATTTGATGAAACGGAGCCATACTGTTTCTGTTTCGAAAATGTTAGTTCATATTTGGTGGTCATTTCTAAAAGGAATGAGAGCTTGTTTATACTGACGGGCTAAATGTGAATTATACTGAATATATCATTTGATCATTAAATTCCATGGTAGGTTATTGAACACTGGACAAATCACCTACTGTTATTTACATTAAGGTAGCGGAATTGAAGTAGCTCCCGATGTCTGGCCATAAGTAGCATGAGTAGACACTTCCAAAAATTCAACAATGCTTGTGCAGTCTTGGATTTCATTATGGCACATTTGTAAGAGAAATTCGAACCGGCCTCCTGTTCGTCCTGTATTTCTGTTGTGGAAATAATACAGAAGGAGTGCCTTGCAGTAATATTTTGAAACGGCACAATGACGGCAGGTTAATACATTTCATACTGTAGTTCTAGAAGACCAAGCGGTTTTATGTTCAGTATCTGAAATCGATTTCATATAAATACAGTACGGTTTTTTAATGCCAGTTGCAGCCAAATGTAATGATGGACCGTGTGTAATAGGTGTGATGTTAACCCTTTCTGTTTTCCTGAAACTGAACCTTCACTCACACACACGCACGCGCATGCACATATATGTGTATATATATGTATGTATTTACATTTTTTTTCTTCTTTTCTTTTTTTCTAACAGCCGTCCATTCCTGTACAGCCCTTAGGCCTCTCTTAGTTCATTATTGAGAAGTCATTTGGCTAATTGGATGCCCTTCCTAATCAACCGTGGTTCACCACGCTGCTATTTATGTCAGTCGGAGCGTAGGTATTTTGCAACTGCCAAGAACTCGAGTTCAGTGTGTGCATGTGGATTTTTTTTTTTCTTTTTGTTTCTTTTTTTTTCTTTATTTTCTTTTTTCTTTATTTTCTTTTTTCTTTGTTTTCTTTTTTCTTTTTTTCTCTTTTTCTTTCTTTCTTTTTCTTTTTTATGCTGTGTATACATTACCGATTATATTAAAAAAAAAAAAAAAAAAAAAAAAAAAAAAAAAAACAGTAGTATGTGAAACGCCATTTGCCTTCAGTGACTCACGCTTTGCAAGATCATAAGAATCTTCATTAAACTTGAAAGGCTTCATATCTATTTCCTTCTCGGAAATATTATGCATATGATACGCATCCCAGCGATCCTGCTTGTACAATATTTCTCCATCTTTCCTTTAGCCACCTTTTCCTTAGAGGAAAAGGTAGCGGTAATACTGCTTTCTTCGTTTGTTTTATCGAAAGTGAATGTGAAAGGTGTGATATATGTGGCTGTCCATTCCTGACAATACAATGGATTTTGCCGACTGGAGAATTTTATTTCCACCTGCGTGATGCCCTCTATATCCTTGCGTAATACTCTAGACCCCCGGGAAGCTACGCGGATGGTGAATCTCCACCGCGTAGTAAATTTGACACAAAGTTCCCTACGAAATGTTTCCCTTTAATGTTCATGCGATGCTGGTTTTGCACAGTCAGGAATGCCATTAACATTTCCTCCATGAAGGTCGGTAGAGACATGTCAAGTGACATATACAAGCATAGAGTTACGTGGCGGGAAATGAATAAGCTTTTCAGATCCCAAATACGAGATACTTAGTTGCATGTACAAAAGCCGATGCTGATGATTATATCAATATGCATAACCTAATTGAATGGACGAAATTTTCATTAGTCCTTCGACAAATCAGTCTTAAATCAAAAGTTATTCTCTTGAGTCTTCGCTAGAAGTTATTATTTAGTCTTCTATGGGGGTGTGAAACATTATGGGGCAAAAGGAACAGGAGCCATGATTGAGACATTAATGAGAAATATAAGTGGAATTTGGATACGTGGAAGACAAAGGATAAAAAGAAAGAGGCAAATGGAGAGGCCCTGGACAGAGAAGGACAGAAAGAAAAATAAATTGATTATATAATACAAGGAAGGGAAGCATGCAAGAAAATTAAAAATCTAAATTGTTGAAAAAGGTGATGCATACATACATACGTTTATACATGGGCACACACACACTATATATATGGGTAGATAGAAAGATAGGCAGATAGATTGATACATAGGTAAACAGACAGATATAAACCAAATTGCAAATCATAAACTCAGCAAATCGAAACACTTTATTAAAAGTCAGATGAGAATATAACTGGTATGTCAAACACATGAAAAAATGAGGCACTAAACTCATCAAGAGCAAAATAAACAGTAATAACAGAGCAGCTTCATTATTTGGAAAATTTCCGAAAACAATAAAGTATATTTTCAGGATAGCTATATAATGCTGAGTTCTGTATTAAACATAAACGTGAGGGTTATAATTTGACAATATTCCTTTCTACATAGTTCATACATAATAATTACGGAGATACAGTAAACAATATCCTTCCCTCTAGCTCTTGGTTCTTGAGTCCTTGAACTACAGACGCCTTATGCAGAGGTACAGGAACCCTGGAAAACGAGCCGCTCCTTTCAGAAAGTAAGGAAACTGACTTTTATCTGCTGCGCCTTTATTGAGCACGGTCTGATCTTATTTCACTTATTGGCGGGGTTTGTACTATGATCTACATATATATATATCTTAATATAATAGTCTTTTGGAACGTAATACACTCCACTAAAATCTGAATGATCAGACCCAGCTGAAGTCAAGCAAAGTCAAGTCAAGCAAAGGATATATCAATTATGAAAATGTAATTCTGCATGTCATATGACAAGATGATAAAAGAATATAGATTAGTAAGGTATATCTTGATCCACGGTAAAGAAGTGGAGAGTAATATATTATAGCATTAATTTGCGGAAAACAAAGAATAGTGCTGTATCTCCGTAAAAAATCTTGACCCTTACTTATGTGTTTGATATATACAGCATTGTGTCAACAATTTTTGCAAGTAAATATAACTTTTTCTCGCACAGCGATCAAATTTCATCAAAAGAAGAATTAAAGACAAACAACAGTTGGACGACGATGGCTCCGAGACGCCCGGCACCTCCGAAACAAGCGCAAAAGTTAAAACGTTATATCTGGTGGTCTTGTTTCTGCCGAACGCAGTGGGAGTGACCGAGGCAGCCCTGGCGCCGCCTCATCATCGTGACCTCGTCTTCAGGTAGATGCTGCAAAAGGAAAGAAAGCTTTCAGATTTTTCTATGGATTTATCATCTTGTAATCGAGGTAACTGACAAAAAATGCAATGACTGTATGGGTAAATATAATATCCTTTAATACAGACAGAATTAGAAATCTTTTTCGCACCACGTCAACATTATTAACTACTAAATTCACCCGATTTTGTTTGTATTATCCATTTTAAGAGTGCCTTTGGCAGTATTGGCTACTATAAATTATTTACCAAACTTAAAAAGACAAGTGCCATCATATCTAGTTAAAATACTAAAAGCGTGGTCCACGCAGCATCTCTGGAGATCAAATGGGATACTTTCACAGCCATTTAGAATTGACTATGGTATAAGGCAAGGGTCGGTTTAAGTCCATGTTTATGCAGTGTGTATGATGACGATCTAGATAACTTACGTAGCAATGCACGGATGGGTTGCCATGTAGCAAGCGCGGCGGCAAAGAACTTTGCATACCCTAGTCTTTGTTGCCAGGAGGAGCTTCCGAGTTACTGCGGATTTGCGAAGTATTCGCTACTGACCACTGCATTACGCACAGCACGGCGAAATTTGTGTGCTTGTGTATCAAACCCACGGGGATGCAGTTTACACCTCCGGCTGTATACCTGCGCAGCTTAGTGCTGCAGTAAGTCGTCTCCTTTAAGACACATCATTACGACAAACCGTCAGGATGACGAGGATATGTTGAAAGACAGGGGGAGCTTGTGTGCACGGGGAATACAAGCAATCCACAGCTGATGTAAAAGTGAACATATTCAAAATATGCTGTGGATCTTTCTGGGGTAATTTCAAATTGACTATACTACACCGCATAAGGGTGGTATATGATAGCGTCTCAGCACTGTGCGTATTTAGGTGTCAAGTCATTCGCGGAATTGACATCACTAGCTCATAGCACCATGCGTAGTTGGGATGGGTTGCCTAGTGTGGTTATTAATAGTATTAATAGAAAATAGGTGTGCGTGGACTTTCGTTTATACGTAGGCAATGGTCACTCCAGCTGTACTTACATCAGTGACAAGTAACATGTCAGATGATCTATTTTTGAATATGACTAATTTACTTCCTGCTACTATTGTATTTTGCTTACTTATATTCTCAGCCTTATTGTCTTAACATAAAATATCCTAGTCTTCTATATTTTACATTTATCCCTATACTAATTCGTTATTACTACCCTAAAATTTCGGTTTTGATATTTTATGTATGTTTTTTACTCTAACAATTTTGAGCTGAGATGAAAGTTAGTAGTAGAAGTAGTAGTAGTAGCAGTAGTAGTAGTAGAAATAGTAGTAGTAGTAGTAGTAGTAGTAGTAGTAGTAGTAGTAGTAGTAGTAGTAGTACCAACCAGAAACAAATGACTAGCGCCGAGACGTGGCCTGGTGGAGTCGTTCTACCGCCGCAGGAAGCCCTCGACCGGCTTGAATACGGTGTAGCGGAAGAGCTGGGGTCCGCCGTATCCATATAGGAGCTCCCCTTTGCCCTGGTGGTCGTAGAAGGGGTAGCGGTACTTGGGCCTGGGGAGGAGGTGCAAAACATTAAGACATCTTTCACGTAGGAAGAGCATCTGTGTGTTGCTGTGTAAAGGAATACATGGGTATATAGGTATTTTTTAAACAGGTAGACCACTATTTCTTGATGATAATGCTAGTTGGCCAATTACGAGCTAAGCACCGCTAAGCATATGTATATGTTCATGGCAAAATATATATTTGTTCTTGGTTTCTTTTTCGCTAATATTTTCCCATTCTTTCTGAGTCATTTCCAAAGAAATTGTAAACACAAATTGTCAAAAAGGGGGCGGTGCTAATGACGTAATGAGTGCGCCGTAAGATATCAGATATAACTAGATACAAAATTACTTATATTTTGATATTTTATATTGTTATAATTACCAGAAGTAAAACCAATATTCCCTCTCTTTGTGATAACGAAGAGTTTCTTACCATTAACAGCCGCCACAATACTCTGAGGGAAAACGCCATTTCATTTTGGGGATCAGAAGGCTAAATGGAAGTGAAGATACCTGGTTATATGGACACTGGGTATATATGTATGAAGTATGCATACATACACATATAATATTCATATTGTTGCCTATCTATACATCTACCTGTATTGTTCTATTGATAATCTATCTATCTACTTATGTGTGGATGTGTTTATGCATACATGTATATATGTTTGTATGCATGTATGCACACATACATGCATGTATGTGTATATGTATGCATTCGTTCATGTATTTTATGCATGTATGTTTGTAAGTATACATATGTATGATGTATGTATCCATTGTGAATGCTTCTACGTATGATTCTATATATGTATGTATTATGCATATATATATACTTACATATATATGTGTGTGTGTGTGTGTGTGTGTGTGTGTGTGTGTGTGTGTGTGTGTGTGTGTGTGTGTGTGTGTGTGTGTGTGTGTGTGTGTATGTGTGCGCGCGCAGATGCACTTTACATACATATACATATATTTATATATATTATTGTCTAAACTTCGTGTCAACTAAACAGCCTGTGCCTGCACTCTACGCTTCGATTTAAACAGTATCCTGTAGCCAGTGCCAATACTCACTCTACCTTTGGTAATACGGATAAATGAGTTCGTAGATCTTGCGCAGTTTGGGGTCCCTGACTTCAGCTGGGCGTTTGCCTCCGTAGTGAAGGTCAGACTGCAGGCCGTTGGGGAAGGCCATGGCAGGCGCCAGTGCCTGCAGCAGGACTAATAGCGCCAGCGCCACACAAAC